ACTACAAGTCGACCCAGAGAAAACATCGGCAGTCGTGGATTTTCCCGTGCCGAAGAATCTGAAACAGATTCGTCGTTTTCTGGGAATGGCCTCCTGGTATAGACGATTTATACCGGAGTTTGCAACCATAGCTCAACCGCTGACACTTCTGACCAAGAAGAATCAGCCGTGGGTGTGGAGAGAAGAACAGCAAGACGCCTTCGAAGCGCTGAAAAAACACTTAACGTCGGCTCCAACTCTTGCTTGTCCCGATTTTTTACTGCCGTTTACCCTGCAAATGGATGCGAGCAGTGTGGGACTCGGTGCTGTACTCACGCAAGTACAGGATGGACAAGAGCGAGTTATAGTTTACGCTAGTCGCTCATTAACGGGCCCTGAAACAAAATACACCGTGACTCAGCAGGAATGTTTAGCGGTTGTGTGGGCAATTATGAAGTTCCGCTGTTACTTGGAGGGTTACCCCTTCACAGTCATAATGGACCATAGCGCCTTAAGGTGGCTTCATAATATGAAAGACCCGGCTGGAAGGCTAGGGAGATGGAACCTCCGGTTGTTAGAGTATGATTACAAAATCATACACCGGAAGGGCGCGCTTCACCATGTGCCTGACGCCTTGTCACGCGCACCGGAAGGAGCGACGGAGTTGCTCTCGATGGCGGTAGATACGGAAGATAAATGGTATCTCCGGCGCTGTCGAGACGTAGAGAGAATCCCGGAAAAATATCCTACGTGGAAAATTTCCGAAGGATTGTTGTACCACCTGAGGCCGAAAACAATTGCCTCAGTGGACAATCAAGACTTGGACGAGTGGAAATTAGTTCTCCCTCGTGAAATGAGACGTGCCGCTATACGCGAATACCACAATTTACCGCAGGCAGGACACCAAGGTGATGATAAGACCTGCCAACGCTTGGTCAATCAATATTATTGGCCAGCGATGTTTGAGAACGTGATGACGTACGTAAGTGCGTGTCACGAATGTCAGCGCTGCAAAGTGCAACAGCAAGCCCCGATAGGCCAGATGGGACCTCGCGCAATCGAGAAACCCTGGTCGAGAATATCGGCGGATATTATGGGTCCCTTTACGCGTACTAAAGCAGGGCACCAGTATGTCCTAGTAATCCAAGACTTCTTTACGAAGTGGATAGAAGTGCGACCGTTGCGCAAAGCAACCGGTGCGACGATACGGAAAGCATTGGAGGAAACCATTATTTATCGATGGGGAGCTCCACGAGAATTGCTGACCGATAATGGGACCGAGTTCGTAAATAAGGACTTGAGAGAGTTGGCTGCTTCAACTAATATGAAGCACCGAACAACGCCGCCGTATCACCCGCAAGCGAACCCCACTGAAAGAGTGAACCGTTCGCTAAAAGCTATGATACGAGCGTACGTGGATCAGGATCACCGTGATTGGGACTGTCATCTGGATGCATTTCGTTTTGCATATAATACAGCCCAACACAGTTCCCTGAAGGCAACCCCGGCTTTCGTAAATCTCGGGCGAGAGCCAGAGCCAGCGAATTCGCTGCGACGAAAGCTGGAGGGAGAGGTTGAAGTTGAAGAAACTCCAACAGAGGCCTGGGTCGAGCGCATGAAGCGCCATGACACCCTCAGATTGGCCTTTAGGCATGCATTAGCCGAAGCTAATGATCGACAGGCGCAAAGTTATAACTTGCGCCGAAGGAAAGGTGAATTCGAGGTCGGCGAACTGGTCCTAGTTCGCGGCCACGAGCTGTCGAGTGCTGCAAAGCATCGTTCAGTGTCCTTGAACAAACCGTTCAATGGACCTTTCGTGGTGACCAAGAAACACTCCAGAAACTTTTACCAAGGTTCTGATATGGCGGGTCGTGATACCAAAGACTGTGCTATAGTGGATATGAAGCCCTATAGGGAAGCTTTGGAGGACCCCCCGACTGAAGAGTCGGAAGGAGAGGAATAGTCTCTTCTGGAGGGTTCTGCTTGAAACGTTTAGGTTTCGGGANGTGAAACCGCGACCTCTGGAGGTCTGGAGGACGTTACTAGACTATCGCGATTTTGGAATTCGCCCAGCATATGCTAGGGGAAAAGGGGCCGACGTACAGGCTGTCCAACTGGGTGATTCCATAGGCTATGTCAGAGTAAACTAGGGACCAACGGCCAGGTGAGAGGACTGGTGCCCCCGGGATCCCGTCGGGTTGATTGGTGGGGATAGGGTAACGGAATGACCTATCGTCGCTGAGATATCCAGACTAGGGGGAGAAGGCCCTAGTAAGATTCTGAATTAGTCGAACGCGGACGCTCGAGCGGGGAAGTCGAAAGGATTTCTCCGATATATACTGTGGTATTGGCTTGAAAGATGGCCACAGGAATGGTGGGCGAATAGCTCAGCGCAGCCAGGTGCATAACTGATGGTAGCGAGCGTAGGGGGATTCTCCTGCATCCCCCACAAACGGAAAAAAGAGTAATTTCGGAACTCTTAGTGACGACTTTGTTGTTTTCGGCGTTATCCGGCTCGGTGAAAGAAATATCGTGTGCATGGGCCCGTGGGTCTGGAGTAGATATCGTTCTCCTGTCGACCCGACCATGTGCCGACATTCGAGTACCCGGAGACGGTGACGTGCGATGACTGAAGCGGTAACTGGTGGCCGAGATCGTGGATGGTCGTGAAGTGGGTAACAGTGTTCCACTTTGGTCGGATCAGCCTCTCGGCGTCCCAGGCTCTGAGGAGTCCCGGCTGATTCGCATTTAATTCTGAAAACCCTCCCGAGTCGAAATTCTCGGGAGGCGAAAGCCTACTGAAAGAGTGGAAAACCCTCCAGGACGAGAGTAAATTCACTTTACATGGATGATTAGGCCGTGAGGCTTAATTTCCAGCCTGAAATAGTGGCTGGTGACGGTTGGCATAAGATATTCCTGGTGGACCTCGCCCACTCTACCGTGTCACACTGATGCTAGCTGGGCAACCCTTTGCCCGGCCACAGAAGTCTCTGAGTGGACGAGTTTGCCTCAGAGGCCGGTTTTCGTCGAACCTCCCGTGAAGGTTCGGCTGGCGCCCGACTATTGAGCGATAGAGATGGCTAAAAAGTAGTTTGGATTTTTTCTGGGTGAACAATCCGGAAAAATATCCTTACAACCTTGATCTTGATCTTTCTAGGCTCTAATGAATGGTCAGGATTGGATTTCCACATTTTTTTTGCTTTTTTTCGGCTCCTGTTCGTATTTCATTTTAAAAATTTCCGTTCACTAGAAATTTCATTTCAAATTATCTTTGAAAAAAAAATCTATTAAAATTGTCTTGGCGTTAATTTTCAATTCCGAAAAAGTTGATTGGAAATAAAGGGATCACCAAGAATTACGAACCCAATTCTCAATTTTTTAAAAAGTTGATAATATTGAGAGGGGCTAGCATAAAATGCATTGTAGTCCTCGTTGCTCCAATCCCCAACCAACTCTGAATTTTCTCTCAAACACTGGAAATTATTGAAAGTCCAACTACAGTGGCCCTTAGCTCTAACGATCTCTAACTCAGGGGGCGTGCTCAAGCGGCGGGGAATGTTTCTCCCACTCTGCATGTGACATCATACATGAGAGGGGAAGTGTTTTGTCGGCCGGTATGTCATGAATATCCTCGGAGATGAAACCTCAAAATGAGTGTATCAAATACTTCGAGCCGAAAGAGGAAAATTACAGAAGTTGAAATACATTTTAAATTAAAAGCTGTAGATGAGATGGAGTATGGTGCTTCAGTTGACACGGTGGCGAATACTCTCCGTGTCCATTCGACAACAGTCAGAGGTTGGATCAAGAATAAAGAGAATTTACGTCAATGGCAAAATCACCATCACAACGTCCTCCCAGCAAAGAGGAAACAGTTGAAGAAACCAGTGAATAGTCTCGTAGATGAAGCAACATGGTTGTGGTTCCAAGAACGACGTTCTGTTGGGTGTCCTTTGAGTGGCTCATTGGTTCGAATGCAGGCACTCCGTTTTCATGCAAGTCTTGGGGGTGCTGTTGATTTTGGTGCAACTGATGGTTGGTTGAGTAAGTGGAAAATACGCCATGGAGTGCGATGCTTGACAGTCACTGATGAAAAACTCTCAGCTGATTCCTAGGGTGCAGATACGTACAAGGTGGAATTCGCTAAGATGATGGAGGAGGAGAATTTATCACCAGATCAGGTTTTCAATGCAGATGAAACTGGGCTGAACTTCCGAGAAATGCCGACAAAAACTTTATCTGCAAAGTCAGAGCCTGAAGCTGCTGGGTTGAAATGCCAGAAGGAGCGAGTAACTGTAATGGCATGCTCCAATGCTCCAGCATCATTTAAACTGCCTCTAGTAGTCATTGGAAAATCAGCCAAGCCACGAGCGATCAAAGATCTCACAAACCTTCCTGTGTGCTACAAATCCCAGAAGAGTGCTTGGATGATGAGTACACTCTTCACCGACTGGTTCAAGGAGGAATTTGTTCCCCAGGTTACGGGTTTTTTGCTGAAGAGAGATTTACCACTCAAAGCCGTTCTGCTGGTTGATAACTGCGCTGCCCACCCACAACAGTTATCTGTAGGAGAGATACCGGTAGAATTTCTGCCACCAAACACAACATCCTTGATCCAGCCCATGGATCAAGGATGTCTTCAGACTTTGAAGCTAATGTATCGTCAGCAGTTAATGGGATTTATTTTAGGTCGGGTGAACGCGGGGACGACACTGACTGAAGCCTTGAAGAAACTGACTATCAGGGAGGTGGTTTTTTGGATTTCCGATGCCTGGAAACGAGTCCTGGACAAGACGATTATCAAGTTGTGGAAACCGGTAATTATTGGTTATCTATTTACTAATAAATTAAATAATGAAGTGGTAAAATGTAACAAATATTTTCCACATTTAGTTGAGTAATGAATTTTTTCTAGAATAAGCTTTTTTTTCAAATCGAAATAGTCAGAAACATTTTTCCAAGTGCAAAAAAAGATCTTGCTGAACTTTCACCAAAAATTATTTCTTTTTTTAACAAAAGGGTAGAATTTTTTTATTTTTTGTTGAAAGTCTAACCCCTCAATTTCTACACCACGTTAATTTGCTCAATAATATCCATCACATTGACTGAAGAATAATTTATCTTATAGCTTTATCCTGAAATTCAACAGAGGGTGGAAGCAGCCTCTCTAAGTATCAATGAGCAAAATCTACGTGTTGTGCATAATCAAAATATGAAAATGTGGAGAAGCTACTTTGAAAGAAGCCACTTCTTTCAATTGTTGAGTCAGATGGATGAATATCGAGGAGTGGATGACGCTGCTATTGCAACATGGCTTCAGTCTCCTACAACAAGTGACGAGATCTTGGATGAGAACGAAGTTTTTCAGATTGTTCGAGAAGAGCTAGAAGATGAAGTCGACGTTTCAATAGAGGAATTACCTCAGCAAAAATCGAACAAGTGACGAGATCTTGGATGAGAACGAAGTTATTGAGATTGTTCGAGAAGAGCTAGAAGATGAAGTCGACGTTTCAACAGAGGAATTACCTCAGCAAAAATCGAACGTGACATTTGCAGTGGCTAAGGAGGGTCTAGGGAATCTCATTGAATATTGCAGAAACAGTCCATACTACCCATTGCAAGTCATTCACTGGCTGTTCAGCATTCAGAAATACATGCCGAAGGAATTTCAGATAACGCAGGCAGAACCTAGTAAGCTTGAAAAAACATCACTTTTTTTCAATGATGAAAAAAACTGACAATCAGTTGAAGCCTTCAAGTAGTTGAATAGTAGTTGATATAGCTACAAAAATAGTAGCAAGTCGATGCTGTCCTGGCCCACTTCATCACTTGTTTTTTCAATGTAAAGAAAATAAGACATTGGAGTATCAAGAGAACCAGGACTGATGACTTTAATTTTCAGGTGACCGACGTCGGTGGCCGAAGCGGCTAGATCCGAGCCTAGTGTGCGAAAGGTTGTGAGTTCGATTCCTCATGGAACAGAGTTTTTCAACCGGACGCTCCGGCGAGCGGGAGGTCGCTAATATAGTGACCGCCTGTACCGGCGTGGGTTTTCTGTGGTTTCCCATGCTACTCCTATGTTCTATAGGAGTGCGAATGCGGTGCAGTGTAGAATCCACAGCCGCATGCATAGGGTTGGATAGGGCCGATTAGCCAATCAGAGGGCAGAAAGGGCCGGAATATAAAAAAAAAAAAATTTCAGGTGAGTAAAGGGATAGAAGGAAGAATTTTCGATGAAAATATGGAAACTATGAGAAATTTTTGCCTTTACAATTTTTTTATTTCTCATTACAGATGGAATCGTATTTTCACCTGAATGCTATCATTAATGGTCGATTGACACCTGAGTACTGTAAGAATGGGAGTTTCGTGAAGCAATCGTTTACCCTTTTTACTCTTGTTTTTTTTTTTTCAGTGAAAATTGAACTGTGATTTTCATATCAACGCCTCGTTTCGTTGGTTGTTTTAGTTGGGATGCTCAATGTAAGAAGAGAAATCGTAAATAAAGCATTTATAGGAAAAAAGGTCTTTTTATGGATAAATCCTCATGGCTGAATAAAAAAAATTAATAAATTAGTTGAGATAGCATTTAATTGCACTGTACTCTTCTCGAAGAGCAAAATGAGTGCATTTAAGCCAAAACGATAAAGCTTAATATAATGTCCAATTTCCATTTATTGTTGCTAATAAATTAGCCCCTTGCTTCCAAATAGATTTAGCTGATTCTATTATATCCTCGTTTTGGTTAATATATTTATTATTTGCTCATTTAATCATTGCTTTAAACTCATTTCTCATCCAATTGGGGTTGAAATATTTTTCCAATTTTTGAATATCACGTCGTATTCTTTCGCTTTGAGATATTTCCTTTCAATTAAACGCTAATTAAATATGGCTCACAATCTCCCTAGACATAGATCAAATCTCAACTGAACTTCAACGAAACTACAACTAAATCCAGAGCAAAAAAAGAGAAATAAATTCTGAATGAAACCCCGATCGAAAACTCAATATATCATTACGCTCACAAATTTTTAAGAAACAAAATTCTTCTCAATTATATTATAATATTTTGACAGTTCACGAAGAGGTTAGGATAATTCATGGGACATGTCGATGGCTGCAGCGTTCTCGCTCTTATCATGCCATCATCTCTTTCATGTAGGCACGCCCCCTGCGCATATGGAAGCGGCAATTCCTAGCTCAGAGTTCTTGGAATCCATACCCCGGAACGCTATGAGCTAGGGGAAGTCCACGGTATCAACTTGGTTCGCCACAGTCATTCCTATAATTTTCTCGAAATCCGGAAAATTTTCTTTGAATTTTCTAGAAAACCTAAGCATTTTCAAGAATCGCGTATGAAAAAATTTAATAAAAAAATCTAACGAATTCGTTGGGAATTTCTATTGCAGTTTGTTTTGAATTTTCTACTAGTTTTTGGCCGATTCTAGTAGAATGTTCAATAAAATATATTCAATAGAAAAAGTCAGTGCAATTCGATTTTCCCATGTAACTTATTCTCTTCAGATATTTTCTATTGAATGTCATTGGCTCAAATTTTCAACTATTTTCTTTTTGTTCTCATCAAGAAAATCAAACAAAAAAAGAAAATTTGAGAAGAGGAAATTCTATAGAAAATATCTCAACAGAATAAGTTATATAGAAAACAAATCGGATTCTATTGACTTTTTCTATTGAATATTTAGAATTTTCTATATTTAGAATTTTCTAACCAATTCGCTAGGTAAATATTTCCATTAACCCTCGATCATTCGCGCTCGGCCGCTAGCCTTCGTTCATCGCATGGTTAGCGCAGCGCCGCTGGAGTAAACCGAGGGCGTTGTTTCCACGTTGGGGCCTACCGCTACGTGCGCCTTTCAAATGTGGGAGTGAATGAAGCAGTAAATGTAGCTCGCTCAAGTGGTCGACAGAGATTCACTCGCACCGGGCGGAGCGGCGCGGCGCGCTTTTCTGTCCGTTCGACTTGTCTTTTTTTGCAGTTAAACAAATTTGNAATTTTTTTATTTCTCATTACAGATGGAATCGTATTTTCACCTGAATGCTATCATTAATGGTCGATTGACACCTGAGTACTGTAAGAATGGGAGTTTCGTGAAGCAATCGTTTACCCTTTTTACTCTTGTTTTTTTTTTTTCAGTGAAAATTGAACTGTGATTTTCATATCAACGCCTCGTTTCGTTGGTTGTTTTAGTTGGGATGCTCAATGTAAGAAGAGAAATCGTAAATAAAGCATTTATAGGAAAAAAGGTCTTTTTATGGATAAATCCTCATGGCTGAATAAAAAAAATTAATAAATTAGTTGAGATAGCATTTAATTGCACTGTACTCTTCTCGAAGAGCAAAATGAGTGCATTTAAGCCAAAACGATAAAGCTTAATATAATGTCCAATTTCCATTTATTGTTGCTAATAAATTAGCCCCTTGCTTCCAAATAGATTTAGCTGATTCTATTATATCCTCGTTTTGGTTAATATATTTATTATTTGCTCATTTAATCATTGCTTTAAACTCATTTCTCATCCAATTGGGGTTGAAATATTTTTCCAATTTTTGAATATCACGTCGTATTCTTTCGCTTTGAGATATTTCCTTTCAATTAAACGCTAATTAAATATGGCTCACAATCTCCCTAGACATAGATCAAATCTCAACTGAACTTCAACGAAACTACAACTAAATCCAGAGCAAAAAAAGAGAAATAAATTCTGAATGAAACCCCGATCGAAAACTCAATATATCATTACGCTCACAAATTTTTAAGAAACAAAATTCTTCTCAATTATATTATAATATTTTGACAGTTCACGAAGAGGTTAGGATAATTCATGGGACATGTCGATGGCTGCAGCGTTCTCGCTCTTATCATGCCATCATCTCTTTCATGTAGGCACGCCCCCTGCGCATATGGAAGCGGCAATTCCTAGCTCAGAGTTCTTGGAATCCATACCCCGGAACGCTATGAGCTAGGGGAAGTCCACGGTATCAACTTGGTTCGCCACAGTCATTCCTATAATTTTCTCGAAATCCGGAAAATTTTCTTTGAATTTTCTAGAAAACCTAAGCATTTTCAAGAATCGCGTATGAAAAAATTTAATAAAAAAATCTAACGAATTCGTTGGGAATTTCTATTGCAGTTTGTTTTGAATTTTCTACTAGTTTTTGGCCGATTCTAGTAGAATGTTCAATAAAATATATTCAATAGAAAAAGTCAGTGCAATTCGATTTTCCCATGTAACTTATTCTCTTCAGATATTTTCTATTGAATGTCATTGGCTCAAATTTTCAACTATTTTCTTTTTGTTCTCATCAAGAAAATCAAACAAAAAAAGAAAATTTGAGAAGAGGAAATTCTATAGAAAATATCTCAACAGAATAAGTTATATAGAAAACAAATCGGATTCTATTGACTTTTTCTATTGAATATTTAGAATTTTCTATATTTAGAATTTTCTAACCAATTCGCTAGGTAAATATTTCCATTAACCCTCGATCATTCGCGCTCGGCCGCTAGCCTTCGTTCATCGCATGGTTAGCGCAGCGCCGCTGGAGTAAACCGAGGGCGTTGTTTCCACGTTGGGGCCTACCGCTACGTGCGCCTTTCAAATGTGGGAGTGAATGAAGCAGTAAATGTAGCTCGCTCAAGTGGTCGACAGAGATTCACTCGCACCGGGCGGAGCGGCGCGGCGCGCTTTTCTGTCCGTTCGACTTGTCTTTTTTTGCAGTTAAACAAATTTGTCGAGAAAAAAACAGACAATGCCAACGCTCAATAAAAAGATTGAACTAGGAACTCTAATTTTTAAGAATTTTTAAGCGTTAAGAAACACAAAAATATAAATAGACAAAAACGGGCGGCGCCGCGCTCTTTGAACGAGTAATCGTGGGTTAAATTTTTTCATCCGTAACTTTTTAAAAAATCCAAATATTTTCTAGAATTTTCTATAAAACTGGAGAATTCCTTTGAACTTTTCAAAAAATTGAAGAATTCTCTCGAAAACTTTTTGAGAATTGAATGTTGGTTTTTTTTGTTGATTATTTTTGATAATCGGATCTGGCTTTCCCTGGGCCAGAGTTCAGTATTCAATAACATGAAGGACTTCCCAATTAAAATTAAAACAGTTATTTCCCCCTAGCTGTTTATAATTTCCCTGTAGCTTTTGATAATTTCCCTGTAGCTTTTGATATTTACCCTCTAGCTCTGCAATTGTTTCTCTAACCAAATAACTGTCAAATATTATCTTGTGGAGTGAAAGAAAGTCATGAAGAATGTCAAAATGAGTCGGTTTGGGAAGGATCCGATTACCAAAAATAATCCGTCGAATACCACCCGACCTCCAAAATTAATCTGACATTTCCCTCATATTTTCCTGCGTATCAACGATCGGGATAAGTTTTGCATAAAAATCCCTCGCACTGCGCGCTCGG